ACTGAACTAACGTAATCAAAGTTTTTGCGTTGAAAAAAATATAAAATTGAATTTTTATTGCTAATCATTATTCGCATCTCGACAATATTCGTTGCCGTTGTTGTCGATGTTTTATAATCAACTCTGTTACTGAGTTGTTGTTAACAACTTGTCAGTAAACTTCATAAAGTTTCATTTATCAAAAAATAAAAAAAATAACTTCTTCAACAATTTTTAACCGGTTTTTTCTTGGTGTTCATATCCTAAGCAAAAAAAAAATCAAAAGAGAACAAGTGAAAAAATTCTCACCATAATACTGCCAACGCCGATGAGATGTCACTGAAGTGTTAACAGCAAAGAAATTTAGCAACAACAGCAACAGCAGTAACAATATACTCCACAAAAAATACGGTCCAGTTGTATTTGATATCATTATCAACCAACATACAAAAGCTCCTCATCCATGTTTCGGAATTTTTTTGATTTATTTGAATCTCAAGTATCTAAAAGAAGAAAAAAAAATGCGCTAAAAAAAGCAAGTAACTGAAAGAAACAATTGAAATAACTACGAAAAAGTAAGGAAAAAAAGACTAACAAATTCGTCAGAGAAGTGCAGAAAAATCTTAGGAGTGAGGAATAAAATGCAAATGAACGAATAAAAAATTGATGGTGCATGTTTGTCTATGGGAGGTACGAATAGATGGGTGCAAAAAACTCTTTCAACTTAAAAATAACTTCCCCAACAAGTCGAAATTTGCTTCCTTATTCTTGAATCTTTTTTTTACTACCACAACCAGTGTAATAGATCAGTTTTACACCAACCCGTAGAAATGCATACTGTTTACAGATTTAATGCAACAAAAATTTGTCGTAAGGAAAAAAGACAACAGTAATCAGTTTTTTAAAAATTATTCTAGAGTGTCAAATAAATGTATAGAAAAAGATGTCACTTTTTTACTCGATTATTTATCATCTAAACAGTAAAATAAAATGCTAAGAAGAAAAAAAATAAGTTTACACTGGCAGTAAAATTATGAATCATCAAAAATATTACGTTTCTTTCTTCAGCACCTATACATTATTCGTTGACTATACAGCGTAACTCGCGTAAGCTTACCCGGTCATTACTAGCAGAAGTTTCTTCCATACAAGACTTCAGTCAGTTAAGTGACTTAGAACTTTTTATTATTTAAAAGAAAACAAATTATTCTGAATTAAAATTAAAGAAAAAAAAATTTTTATTCCTGAAACGTTGAATCAGCACAAATCGTTGACACTTTAGCAGAACCAATTTTGTTGCTTTGTTGCTGAATGGTCCAATCTGGTGAATTCAAATGATAAATATAATGGAAATATGAGCAACCAATTTGAAAACAGTTGTTTAACTTCAATTTTTCTGTTCTAGTCGCAATCAACGCTTATAGTTGCACTATAAACTCGACATTGTGACCTTTCTTATCGTTTTTTGCTATTTATTTTTTGTTTTGAATTCTTTATAACCTAATTATTGTTGACATACAGCGGCTAATTCAACAACATGTACAATAATGAAGCAGCACTGCAGCTGCGAAGAAGAATCAGATAAAAAGAATATTCATTAGTCTAGCCAATTCGGGTCACATACACACGCAAAAACAAATTAACGCCTTTAACAGCCATTGAACGCCTAACCAACTTAGCAGCCAATGAATGCTTTTCACTGCTTTCAACTTGCTGTATCAAAGCAACAGCAAAAACAACAACGTTTCTACTGATTTTTATCACAATGACCATTTAGGTGTTTATTCAATCTTTA